CCTCCTCGCAAAACAAGATTAAAAGCAGAAACATTTTAGCCTGCTACGTCTGAGTTCATTATTCACAGTTCTCTCTACTTAATTAAGCACATGTAGATGCATACTTTATTCATTTTACTCTTAAAACACTCTAGACAGACATTTCAAGACATGAGAAACCACTGAAAGATGCCTGAAAATGGTTTAAGGACTTTGTGAATATGCTGAAGGCTGTAGACAAGTTTATGTTCCTCCTTTATCATTAATCTTTCCTGAACTTGGTACTTATGAGCCCATCTCCTGTTCTGCCCGGTGTACACAACAAGAAAATGAAGAATCTGCTCTTGTATTTGGATGTTGACTTAGAACATGACTTTACTGGCCATAAGCTGCAAAAACATTGTGAATGAGGCACCATTCACATCAAACACAAACAGACATTTATTCTTCCTGCCAAAAGTAGAAGTAAACTATCAACAAAACAAGATGGGCTCTAATAAAATTGCAGTTGAATCCAGATGACTTTAAATGAGCTCCGCTGACCTGTCTGCATCCTGCTAATTCGCATTTTTGCTTCTTGAATAAAACCAATAATGCTAGAGGAGTTTTGCCAGTCAGCTTGAGGTTAAATAGAATGACAGTACAAAGGGAGAAATGCCAGTACACAAAAGAAAAGCACCAGCTGTGTTTGTATTCACCTTTCAACATACTGGCTACTTATTTCAATATTTTTTTTCTCAGGGTTCTGAAATAATACCTTATTTCCATTGGTGTTTCTTAAGATGCTGACAGGTGCTGCACAGGCAATGGCAGGACTTGGGATGGTGCAGCCCATTGAAAGGAGCTCATCGGGGTGGAATTCATGACTATGCCATGGCCTGAGCTACTATAACATGTAAGCTGTCAAAACTGCCATACCGACAGGCTGTGGAGGTGGGAGAATACTTCAGTAGCTGCACAAGGAAAGGTGAATAACCACTGCCTTCAGTGCCCTCAGACAACAGTTACCTCTCTGCTATTCTTGGAAAAATAAACTCTTCATACTCTGTATTCAGATTTATTCTTGTTTAAGTAGCTGCGAATTATCAGATGTTACATTATAAGAGCTGGGCAGCTCTGTTCATGGTGGTCACATGTCCTGATAATTGCAGCAAGCTCCAATCACTGCCAATGTCAAAAGTACTTCACAGATCTTCAGTGCTATTTGGTCAGCTCTCCAAGTCCCACCCTCTGGGATCATTAACTTCAAGCATCTCTTGTTTCTGCATTTATGTTTTTACTCATCAGTGCTGCTCGCAAGCACCTAATAACGCACCTAAAACATCCTGCCTGCACTCACCCTGATGCAAATAGTTCCGCACATCACCTTGAACTGCAATCAAACAAATGGATTAAACAGTGCAACATCAGCCAACAATGTGGCAAGATATATGCAATTTGTCCGTGGGAAAAATGTCTTTTTTTGTTGTTGTTGTTCTGCAGCATTATAAATGCCTCTCTCCAGATAATCTAAAAGCCCTTTTAATTTTTTTTTTTTCTTTTTTATTGTTCTGAGAATTAAAAGAGGACAAACTGGATTCTTCCTCCTATCCCACCTGACTAATTCTGAATTTTAGACCGAAAGAGTTACTGCTGATACCAAACAGATTTCAGCTGTAGAGGCACATATATTCAGATTGTGATGCTAAGGCAGGCATGAACAAAGTGTATATATCCATATGGATTTCCTATTCCTTGTATTAAAACAAGCAAACAACTCACAACTCACCTCTGTGAGAACATGATGGATGGCTCTTCACTGGCCACTGCAAGCAGCATGGAATCACATCTGTTATTCAACCGATTTTCTTGGTGTATCAGCTCCTCTCCGGCTATGCATGAGACATCTCCTCCAGTTTGCCACGTAGGTAGAGCTATGTACAGCTCAAAGCACTGTTGCTTATGCAGCATCATTATTACAATAATATGACTGTAAGAAAAACATGCAGTGACTTCACAAAAACCAATGATTTTATAGTCCAAGTACATGCAACACTATCAAAAGAACATGTATTAAAACGTGAGACACCTGCTGTGTTGAGTTCATGTAAAACTAACAGAACTTAAATCCTGACAGTATTACTAAATACATCTTGAAATAAAAAGCTATCTTGAAAGACCAGCTAGGCCTAAAGAACACATTTAGTAAACATATATCCCTTCTGCAAACAACACGTTAGAGGGTTTTGTTTTCTCATGGTAGGCTTGTGTTAACTGGGAAAAAAAAAAAAGGCTTTAAATCCAGAGCCTATTCTGTAAAGGGACTGATTTATCTCTTGATCAAAGGGAAGTGCCAGTCCACTGCCTTTCTAATAAAAGAGAGTTCATGATCACTGCTTACCCAGGAGCATAGGAGAGATCAGCTATTTAGCAGTGAGCACAGGTTTTGAACTATGGGCAGTACCTGCTTCAGAGAAGGACTGGTAGCATTGTCACCCAACAGGAGATGTATTTGGAGAGAGCTTTATACAGCTGTGGAGTCAGTTGGGATGCAGAGGCCAGGTCTGGTCTTCCCTGATATTTCCTGATGCCCCTTTTATTTTTGGTTGTTTTACATTTCTGCCTCCTTGGGAACCAGCATTACTTTTCCTCTGTGTTGCAGACTCTTTGAGTGAATTAACCTATTGAATCAATTTGTTGTCATCTACCACACAACAAAATTAACAGGCTGTAGATCTATCCATAGAATTATTCAAGGCATCCGTGCAAATTTTGCTCCTTTCTGTCTTTTGACTGAAGTAACTGTTTTTGGTTATAACCTGGAAGCTAGTTAGAGGAGCTTCCACTTTGTTCATTACTTCACTTAGCGTGGACTTCATCGTTCTATCATTCATCATTCACTTTACAGTATTTATCATTCATCAATCATTCATCATTCACTTTACAGTGAGGGTGACGGAGCACTGGAACAGGCTGCCCAGGGAGGTGGTGGAGTTTCCTTCTCTGGAGATGTTCAAGACCTGCCTGGATGCCTACCTGTGCAACCAGGTGTAGGGAACCTGCTTTGGCAGGGAGGTTGGACTCGATGATCTCTGGAGGTCCCTTCCAACCCCTACAGTTCTGTGATTCTGTGGTTCTAGAGCTTTTAGGGACTGTTTTGATGGAGATCATAAGCAGTTCTTGCTTCCCATTCTTTCTAGAGGAAACAGTATTGTTGAGGAACAATATACTGTTTCTGAATGTAAGCCTAGTTGTCCAGGAAAAATGCATGGCAGAATTATTTTGCAGAAACACCGTCAAAAAATGAACTTCTCAGCTTTGATTTCCAGAATCTTTACAGGTCCTTCAGATTTTGTTAAGTATAAGCTGTCTGTCCATGGATCATTTCCACATGTGCTCAGTCCCCTTGCTTTATGACAAGCACACCTACAGCAAGGCCTAGTAAATAGAGGAGCTATCTCTGAAAACATGCCTCTCCTGAGTACAGCAGCAAAACTACTCTTCCCCCTGTTTCTGTGTTAGTCTCACAACAACACACAAAGTCATGACCACGTTACATTTTATTACTGTAAAAAACTTCACATTTTGTAATAAAATATATAACAAGAAATTGTCACCTTTAAGTAAACGGACCATTTCATGTAAAAACACAGCTGTGAACTGTAGGCTTGATCTTAAAGTCTTGTCACCCAAGGTTCATTACCAGCTAGTGAGCAAACATCTCAGCAATCTCACACCCCATTAGCAATAATCTCAGCTATGCCTAATTCCCTTCATTTGTACATCATGCAAAAATCTTCTAAATTGCTTTACAGCTGACAATTAATACTTTATCAATTACAGTGCTATCCGTGCTCTTGCTCTGGCTACCAGAAATCCCAGTGGCAGATATGCTGCTCAGTCTTGCCTGAGTTGCATTAAAGTAACATCTTGGGGACTCTAGTTACAGTACTGTAACACACAGAGGATGAATTACTGTTTGCTATAGAGGCTATTAAACAGACTTCACACATCATGATTGGTGGCAAATAGCTAAAATAACCTATATATATAAAGCTAAAAACATACTTAAATCAGAAACACTGATAGATTCACAGAAGCACAGACGGCTTTGAGTTTAAAACATGATTAAGATTTCACCCCACATTGTGAAGAAAAATTGGGAAATGGTCCTAGCAGTCAACATTTCTATAAGAAATACCAAAGTCACCTTTAATTGCATTGCAATAGGTAGTGATGAAGGTGACATTTTGTGTTTTTTAATTCCTTGCATCTTGTTGCCCAGAGATAACAAAAAGAAGGGACATATTATGCATATCCTGGTCATTTTATACCATGTGTTGCCATGTGGTTAGTGAACCTTCATATATTACGTGTCAAAATCTTTGTCATTAGTATCTCCATCAACTACTGAATGTAAGTAAGTGAGGGGAAAAACATAATTTATACTTGATTGAATGCAGCAGCAATATAAGATAAGACAGGGAATTAAAGGAACAAAATGATTTCCAGGTGAAAAAGCAGGGAGAATTTTAACATTCTGGAACATAAATCTTTGAATTAGACTTGTTATGTCTGTCTACTTCTGCAGATATGAAGAAGTAGACTCCATTTATCGTTGAGTTATGCTGTCAGTTCTTGCAGTTCTGTATTCGCATTCTTCAATTTCATAAACTGCTTTCTCCTTTTCTTAAAAGCCTCAGGTAAAACCAGTGCCTGCATAAAACACAGTTTACTGTGCAGGGGAAGCACAGTAGACCTGGTATTGTAAGGTATATGAAGTCTATATGTTAAAAATTGAACATTCTCTAGTATCTTTCAGATGCTGTGATTCTGCAGCACCAGCAGACTTTTCTTTTTTTCCTGCTAGAAGTGTGATTTTTAAGCTAGTAATGTCTAAGACTTTTCTAGAAAGTTTAAAGTAGGGTGTGCTACTCTAAGACTTGCTTAATGTTGAATGGATTTTCTTTCCATTACTCCAACATGGGCACATCACTAGTGCAGTTATTCACTGGTATCGTGAAAGAAAAATATTCCTTGAAGAAAGAAAGAAATTGTAGCTTTCTCAGCAACTGCTTAATGATCGCGTAATTTTTCTCAAATGACACAATACCAGGAAGATCAAGAAGTCATCTCCAGTGATATATGCACTAAAGAGAAGCCGAATATTAGAAATCCTATTGCACTACTCCAGCGAGTTTATAAATCCACACCTCTCTCTCCTTTTGTAGTGAGCATTATGATGAAGTATAAGTGTAATTTTTATTTTCCCGATGCTATCTTTCTCCAATTGCGCTGCAGAGCAGAGATACCATGTCCAGAAAAGGAATCTCATTTCTGAATGCATCTTCAAAGTGTCACTGCACTCACAGATCGCCGATGGCTTCCACAGTTAAAATTCTTAGCTTTTCCTTTAGTTAGTTTGCCACTGTCCTGTACAGGAGATGCTATCCCACTGGATACTAGGGGGTAACAGCCAGAGAGAGGTCCCGAGGAAGACTCTGTAGCAGTAGATTCTTCCTCTGCCCACCTGTTAAAGAAATAGTATCCTTCCTCAAGTGCCCATTTCCGGAGAGGATTCACCTCAGAGGCCAAAAGTCCCTGACTTCCTGCGTCCACCGGAGGTACAGATGCTGCTACTGGATGTAAAAATGGTGAAAAACAAAAGTGGCTGTTGCGTTGGTCAAGATCCTCAGTGGGTGCTGGTGACGCTACAGGTGCATCAGAAGTAGTTTGTTTTCTTGACCTCAGTTTCTGGATCTCACAATCCCGTTGCCCTTTAGGAAGTTTATCTAACTGTTGAGCTTTCAGAAGCAGTGATGCTCCAAAGGTTCCTCGAAGAGCAAAAATAAAGTACCTAATGAAAGAGGAAGAGAATGGATTGTCTTAGCAGTGGGCTCCTCCCATAGTCTGCACTGTATAACACAAATCCTGTTGCTAATTTTCCAATGCCCTTCAGGCCTCTGATAGACATCTTATACCTGGTAGTTGAAAGAGGGCTTCTGGATATTAATGCAACTGTACACTTATCTTCACCTGTATGGAGTCAACTGCAAGCATATGAATACTAAAAACATGATAATAGAACAATTTGGTCACTGAATAGTGCAAGAATGATACACAGAAGCTCGCTAAGAGATTCAGTATTTGTGGAGCTTTTGTACACTACAAAAACAGGCTAAAGAAAGAACCTTAAATTGATAGAAAACATAAAACCAGAAATTTAACATCAGCTGGTGCATTTGCTCAGGAAGCAGTAAAAACACTGTGTCCTACTTGCCAATGCAGGACAGAGAACTTGTATTGCTGTATATTATGTGCAGTGAGAGTACACACACCTCTGCACATCATGACAGTCTTATCTGAAAAACAAAGCCTCTCTCAAAACAACATTTCTAGTAGGGTTTGATCTTTACATACGTGACCTTTATACAGATTTTACAGCAAACATCAGAGCTCTTTGAAATTGCATTAATGAAGGTGTCACTCTTGCATCTGGCTGCTAAATATATACATAAATAAGTGTACAATGTTAAAAATGCCAGCAAATCAGACTGAGTACAGAAAGGGCTCTTAAAGCAATGGGCTTTCCTCTCTCGTAGATAGGAAATACACAAAACTACATAGAATAATAGAATTGAGTTGGAAGCAATCTTTAAAGGACATCCAGTCCAACTTCCCTGCAATGAGCAGGGACACCTATGGCTCAACTAAGTGCTCAGAGCCCCTCCAGCCTGACCTTGTGGGTCTGCAGAGACCACCAGCTCTCTGGGCAACCTGTGCCAGTGCCTCTCTGCCCTTATTGTAAAGAAGGAACTTCTTCCTTATATCAAGTCTGTATTAGCCATGCCCATGGCCAGGCTCATACCCTTTCAGAGCTGTGCAGTTGCTAGTTACAGCTGGGCAGCTAAGAGAACAACTATAGAGAACCCAACCCCACAAGAAATGGATCGCATTTTGCTCTGTCCTTGCTCTCAAGCTGTTCTCCGTGTCTTCTGTGTAAGTTGATGGCAGACTGGGTAGAAGGACATCCCACCAACAGACTCTGCTTGCTGCTGCCCTTCTCACAGCCCTGCAGTGTAAGATATAGTGCAATATGCTGACACAGCCAAGTTGTAGCAGAACCCAGGGGCTGTATTCTATGAACTGAGGACCCTACAGAAAATAATCTTAGGTATCTACAGGATGGAACAGCAATTTTCCAACTCCGAAGAAAACAAGATATAAATCTTTAGGCTCAGTATTCTGCTGAGGAACTAACACTCCTAACCTTGCTGAATTCTCAATATGGATTCTTAAATTCTTAACAATGCATTTGATGCAGACCTGAGCAGAAAGCCCAGGATCAAAAATGACACTGTGAATGTGGTCTTATAGGAAGACAAAAATCACACAGGAAAAGAAAGTCTGGAAAATGACGCTCTGCCTAGAAGACATAAGACCTCACTGAACTATGTGTTGTTTATCCTGACCTTAAGTTATATAACATAACACAAAATCACAATGGCTGGGGAAATAAAATTAATTTGAAGAGAAATATGATTTTTCCTCAGAGAGCTTCTTTAAGACAAAGTTAGTATTCAAATTTTAATTCTTCATAGCATTAAAAACAAGTGCTAAAAATGTTTTCTTGATTCTTCCAATTCCAGCATACTGAGCTACTTCATGACAATTAGTACAAGAACAATACTAGCAAGTCAGTCAAACAGATCCATTACTTCAATCGTCTAAGCAGAAATAAAATTTTTAAATTTTAAATTTAAGTTTTAAATTTAAATTTTAGATGTGAAAAGTGGCGCAGCTCAGACAAAACATACCTTAAAGAATGATTAAGGTATTAAGCATTAAAAATAAGTAAAGTTACCATATACATATATGGGAGCAGGTTTTCAAGCCAGCTTTTCCCTGGAAACTATCAAAACAATTAATCTTCCTCCAAATATCATTTAAATTCAATTGCAGTTATCACTACCTACCTGACTAGTCACAGAATAAAACTAAGACTCTGCATTGGATGTAGAAAAGCATTTGATATGGAAACTTGGCTTACTGATGCACTGTAATGTACAGAAGCAACAGAATATGCTCTGTAACTTTCAAAGCATATAGGAACATTTCAAAGACTTGTTTTCGAGCCTTCATCTGCTCTACTACATTGTGTTTTTCATAATGAACAATTATATAAAGGATTTGTACCAGTAAGCTTTGAAGCACCCAGAAAGGAAGGTTTTTCTGATGGGAAAATGAAGGCAGTAGGTTACTTATCTAGGGTTATAAGACTGAATAAATTAATGATTCGTGAACCAGAAAGTTGAACCCAAGTTTCTGACTTCCAGACCAACAGCCTATCTCTGCACAACACCTGTGCCTCACATATCTCCTATTCATAGGCATTCTTATTGTTATTTCACTCAAACGCCTACAAATTCACAAAATGAAAACTGAGAAGAGTGCTTTGCTCAAACCTTGGCAAGAGTGCGATGGCTGGAGTGATGAGACACACTAAATAGAAAGTGGGCTCTGAAAGCTGTTTCTCCATTATCCAATAGGAGTCGGTGGGAGGGTTGCAGGCCATGCACACAGCATTGTAGATCAGAGAGAAGACGAAGTAAATTACCACACTCCCAATTATCGTGATCCAGTGGAACAGTGTCTGTAAGAATAAAATGACCATAAAATGACCATAATACATTTGAGACACTGACTCTTAGTACAAGACAGTACACAAAAAAAAGACTAGAAAGCAGGTACCCAATAGATCCATCCTCTTGAAGAGTGCAGGCCAAATGCCTGGAAATTAACTTATGGGACAATAGTGACAACTGTTACAGTTCTTGAAGTAATGTGTTTTGCTCATGTTACTGAAATATGTAAAAGTGGTGTACTGTCCAGTCCAAAAGCAAAGCAGAAGTGCCTTTTGTTTCTACACTTACAAAGCTATTACCCTGAGGCTAATAATAAATTCTGACACATTGTGAAGTCTCACTGCATATGTTATTTTCTTTTTGTGACACAGAATCAATGTAAAAGACTCTGAAAGAAAACTCTTTGTCTATACAAAATATTATTTAGAAAATAAAAAAAGTCATGTGGATAGGACAGGCCAAACACGTACCCATGTTTTCATTTCTAGAGCCTGATGCAAGAGGATGGTCAGGAGGGAAACAGTATTGATGGGGTTTCCAAAGGAAAACACATCGATGTCGGAATCCTTGTATGCCTAGAAAACAGGTAAGTAGACTGTGTTGAACCTTGACTTTTTAGAAGATAATTTTTCTTTTTTTTTTTTTTTTCTTTTCTATTTTTCACAGAAGATTGCAGACTGAGGATATGAATGACCCTTGTACTTACCAAATAGGGGACAAAGAAGCAAACGAGGCTTTGATAGAAGGCATCCAACATTGTAATAATAAAAGTCGACAGCTTGTATATCTGTAGGAGTTTACAGACAACAGTCATTATGATGGTACACACATTTCTGATCTGTCCTGCAGACATATTTGTTTTTCTTCTGCTCAGCTACTCATTATAGCTAACTGGTCTCTCTTCATGAGCAAATGCCTCTTGAACAGGTGATTTAGAGCTAAGACTTATCCCTGAACAGACATTTTCTCTTTGTTAACTAGACAGTAAGATTACTGGGAAGATTAGCCAGTCAGCTAGGGGTTGTAAAGTGGAATACAATCTCTGCTTCCATCCTTCCCCACAGGATCCCATTCCTCAAATTCTTTTTAAAAACAGCTCTTCCTGTACAGTTGGATGAAGTTAATTTGTTTTAAGGATCCTTCCCTTGATGCATGTATTTTGCACCATCTTAATTTGACTGCAAGATGTATTTAAACTTATCTAGAAACCAGTGGTGTCACAAACATTCTGGGAGTGACAGAAGGAAAGGTCCTACTGTTTCAAGGCAGACAACGTCAAATCAGAAATAATGACCTCTTCATAATGACATGTGAGGTTCAAGAACTCTTAAGAAGGAAAGTCCTACAAAAATCACCACATTCTGCACACCCTTGACTAGATTTTTCAAAACATTACTAAACATGATGTGAACTCCAGTCAGTGATAAAAAATACAGTCCATGATAAGGAAAGCAACTACTATGAGAAGGAATGATAGGAAGAGTTCCTAATTATCCTGCAATTTTGTGATCTAAAACAAAGAACACATCAAATTTTGCCCATTTTCATTTTTATAATTTTAAATTGAAAATATTAAGACAATTTTGGAATATATTTTACTGTATATACAAACTCTCACACATGCACATATATAAATATATGCATTGTCACAATATACAGAGATCAGGCCAGTTTTCTAAATCTGACAGACAATATGAGGGAAAAACTTAATATAATCTTACATGTATATTTTCTGAGCATTACCATTTCTGACAGTTTAAAGTAAAAGTAGTAAATAAATGGAACACCTTTGGATTGGGACAACCTGAACACCTAACTCTGACATAAACCTTTATATATTTAACAGGTCTGTTTCAGAATGCAAGAGTAGAAAATAAAAGTCTAGCTGTTCATTGATTTAAACATTTACATTTCCTTTCAGTGTGCTGCAGTCTTTTAAAGACAATTTTTTTCTGTACGTTGAGACTGTTTAAAACACTAAATCTCAGCAGAGTTTAATCAGGAACCAGCCAAACTATTTCAAGCTACATTTGTTATATTTCTCTTTTTAATCACTCGTTCTTTTTTTGTCATTTGGATTTTTTTTTCTATATATGGTGTGTTTATATACAATACACACACACACATATTTGCTCCATCTTTTCTTCACATCAGAAACAACAAATACAGGTCTGATTCACTAGTATATCACTTTATTTATTATAATGCAGCAAACTGGTACCAAATCAGATTGCTCAATACATTTAATGGCAGAATAAACCTTTTCATTTACATCTTCCAACCATGAACAAGTAACCAACTTACTCCCAAGATGGAACTTCAGTTGTATATTCCCTAGGAGCTCTTCCGATAGTTACAATTAACCCTTCTTTTTGTGGATATCAGTAAAATAGAATATATAAATAGATAATTTGGTTCCAGTTGAGTCTGAAACTCTTCCCTCCCTTTCCACAAAACCAAAAACACTGTTGTCTTCTGGCTTACCAAGCAGTTATTCAGGAATCAAGACATACCTCTGAATTCTGCCCATTCTTGTATAACTCAGGCAAGCTCAGTAGAGTTTCTGCAGAAACATCTCTATCCAGAACTCCAAAGACCAGAGGGGGCAACGAGGTGAAGAAAAGATTGAAAAAAATCATCTGCCAATAATCTATCATTGTGTTGCCTGAGAACCCGCAGAAGAACTGGTACCAGAAGAGCAGGTTGACGTAGCTCTGTTGGAGAAGAAAGTACAAACCCAATGCTCTGTTACAGGCTGAACTGTTGCTCTTCGTGTGTGCAAAAGCACATCCCTTCATGCTGATGTGCTTTCTCTTTGGGTTGTGAAGGCAGTGGAGATACACATTTCCTGTGGCTTCTCCTTTATGCTCTTCTCCCTCTCCCACCTCATTATTCCCTACTCTGAAAGCTCATGTGGACCCTTTAGTTTGCAATGCACAGGTAGTTTACACCTCCCATAGTCTCATCAAAGAAGCTTATGCAGCACATTGGTTGTTAACAGTTTCCAAAGAATACTTTATTTTAGTTAAAGGTGCTTTCAGTAGACATCTCTGTGTGTTGTTCCATAAAGCAGTATATCTCAAGGGACTGCTTCACACTGACCCACTGTGATACAGCTTTATAAAAGCTGTTAGGTTTCTTAAAGAAAATATCAGAGAATAATTAAACAAATTGTTCACAGCTATGAATGCCAGACTTTAAAATCCTTTTACAGGCTTGCTGTCAGTATGGAATCAAAGGCCTCCTGCTCCCTAATGGTACCAAGGAGATAATAGAACAGCAGCATCCTGGTCTGGAGAGCTATTTCACGTTGCAATTTCTTTTGAACTGAGAAAGGGTGCCCAGTTAGGAAAAAGAAAATTTTCCATTTCCATTACAAGTGTTAACACTGCCAGGACATAATCCTTATTCAAAATTATATATTAAAAAAAATAAAATATGGATGCTTTGAATTCTTAGTAAATAGTCTTTCATGCTCAGAGAGTACATTTTGTGTCAGATAGAGTTGTTTGCACAGTCTTGCAGAAACTGTTCTGCTGTCAGTTTTATCCACTTTACATTATTCTTCAATGCGCCATTAATTTGCATATACATTAAATTTTTAATAAAAATGCCAGATATGACTGCATCGTTGCTTGCAAGTGGTTCCTATCAAATTAAATGCAAAAAAATCAGGTTTCACAGGCAATCGTTTTTTAGTGCAGAGTCATCTTCTGTATTCCAGCACTAATAATCTGCTGCTCCTTATGCATATTTTATTTTGAAACTCATGGGTATTATTAATAAAGTTTCTTGAACTGCTATATAGAATTACAAAACCTTGAGTTCCTTTTTCCCCATGGAATAATGCTATTTCAATAGATATTTAGATTCCATATTTTTCTCTATTCTTTATGCAGTACATTACTAAGATGGAAATAGCAAACCCTAAACTTCTGCAAAGTGGAGAGGCAGAGATTGCAGCTTCATAAAAGAAAAAAAAAAGAAAAGAGAGAGCAATGTCTTCAAAAAACAAAACACTCCTTTAATTAGCGATTGCTAGGATGAAAGCTTCCAGAATTTTAATCATCTTACCACATTTTTGTAGAAAAAGTAAATCACCATCTTTGCCAAGCGAGCATAACACCAATGTCCATGGACGAGAAGCAGTTTTTTGAGATGCTTGAATCGGGATATTGCAAAGTCACTAGCCATCACAGCCTTCATTAAAGAGAACAAAAGTTACTTTACAATCTATCTTTTACACCCATCCAGCGAGATGGATTCTGCATATGGACTTTGAAACAATTTTCTACTATTGCACATTGTAATAAAAATAATTGAGAAATTTCTTTATCTGCAGAACTCTCCATCTGATGAGAAGAAGGAAAGGGGATATGTGGCAAAGAATCTGAGGCAGAAAACACTGAAAATCAGCAAAATCTGAAAATGTTGTTAGCAGAGTCTGTTCACAGACCAGATGCTAACCTAAAAGTGGACAGGCATCTGTTAATTTTCCAGGCTTATAAGCAAATACTTATTTCTCCATGAATGCTAATTGTTGGCTCAAACTCTCTTTTTTATCTGGACTCGCAATTATGGACTGCATATTCTTTTATGACAGTAATAATGCCAGCCTGTGGTACTCAGAATACAGGGCTGCTATAAAACTTATTAATGAGCAAGAACCTATTTGACAAAAGAGAAGAGGAAGTAAACTGAACAGATACCTGCATGCCTTCTTGGCCAGATATTCCAATTCCAACATCAGCTGCTTGAATCATACTTACATCATTTGCACCATCACCTAGAAAGGGAAGACAGAAGTGAATAGTAAAGGCACAAGAAAGGGTGCTTAACATGACTATGCTAGAGCTAAAAGAACAAACAAACAACAACAACAAAAAAATAACCACATCTGTCTGTTAAATGTAGGCTATTATGCTGTACCATGCATCTTCACTAGGGTAACAGACGGCATCAAGCAATTATGACCTTTAGCTTCTGATCTTGGTTGGAACATCCTCCTCAGCCTAGCACCGGGACCAGCTTGGCTGGTGGCATGGACACCCAGACACCATCTACATCTGCACTATTTTGTACATTTCTGCTTGGTGAACTCCATATGCTCAACCACATGCTTTGCAGCACCCTATTTCACTGAACTTTTTGAATTACATGACAAATTTTATTCCAATTGACAATGTAACAAGCCTATTTCAGGAGTTATTCTGCTCTTTTCAACTTTCAGCAATATGTTGAATACATAACCAAATTTCCATGGAAAGAAACAGCAATGATTGCCTGCAATGTGGAGACTGTGAATTAGGTTACCTGGTAAAGTAAATGAAATGAAGTGGAAGGCTGAAATTTTGTATTTTGAAATCTGAGGCAAAGCAAGAAATTTAATGTATACCAGGCTCTTCCTTTTCTGATACGCCTTGTTGGTCCACAGAGATGTACTTTTTAGTTTTAAGTCATAAAAATCAATTCTGCAAGGATTTTAGCAGGATCTCTTACCAACAGTGAGCAGGAAACTCAACACATTTCACATTATTTGAAGGTAAAAAGCAAAGGAGTCGGTGTTTAATGCTACTCTGGGAATAATGCTATTTTCACCAGCTGGGAAAATCTGACAGGAGAAGGCCTTTGTGAAAACAGAAAACAGTAACTATTTCTGACTGCTTTGCTTCCCTCGGTGAGTGGATTCCATGGGGAATGTGTACATATGTTTGCACTGCTGTGCTTGAAAGGGACTACTGGGAGTTATGGTATTTGGAGCGCTTTCATCTTGTTCAAACGGGGGTTGTACTGAAAGCTAAAGGAGGACTTCCACATGCTTATTGGTCAGGAAAGGCTATTCAGTACTTGTTTTCCACTGTGTCTTTCCAAGGGGAATTAGAAGTAGCTCATGCAATGTACACATTCCACACGTTTTCATAACACAGAGAAAGAACCCGCTTCCCTCTTTCTGCTGTAAGATTCCAAAGAGTGGTACCTATGGACAGGGTCATCACTTTGAGCTGCCTCCGCACCAGCTTGACCACAATGCTCTTCTGCAGCGGGGTGGAACGGCAGCACAGCACCGAGCGGCAGAGCCGCGCCAGCTCCAAGAACCGCTCCTCCAGACCTCCCTGCAGGATGATGTCCAGTGTCCTTCCATCGATCACCAGCCCAAATTCAGGGCTGGGTGTCTCAGAGGCTGGTAAAGATGTTGGGATAAAGCCAAAAAGTTTCCTCTGTGGTTTTTCAACCTCATAGTTCTTCCTCACTTCTTCCAAGGTTAAATTCAAGAGCGATTCGCAAGTTTCCTGTAAGAAAACAGAAGTGTTGCTAGAAATAGTTATCTCCATCTCCCTCCACAGCACAGCACCTTACAAAGTGTGTGTTTGTATAATCATGCCAGTGGGTTGGAGCCTATCAGATGAATACTGGGGAAAACTGACTGAGAAAGGCACTGATTCATCAGATTGGAGATTATTCCAGTGACGACATTAAATCCTTCAGTGAAAACACTGCACATCTTATCAGGTAGTTACCTACAAGAAGAAATTACTTCAAAACAGAAAATAAGCTCCCTTCAGGAGGACATATTTCTATTTGCAATGCTGAGAGCTCAGAAAGAAAATTTTTTTTTTTTGTTAAAGGTGATTTTTTAAAACAAGCTCTGATGTGAATTATTTGAGATAGTCCAGCTCTTGCTTCTGTCACAAATAAATGATGGCAGAGAAACAAGAGGTTCAGCTGTTCAAAATTAGTAACTTTGACAGTTTGGCCTTTTCTAGGTCACAAATCAGGTCTGAGTCAAAGGGACAGAAATAAAGCTTTGTATTACACAGTTCTGTACCTCAAATACAGGCTAAGCCTTTCCCTACTAGCAAATTTGCCTCATTTTGGATCAGAGCCCCTTTCCAAATACACACAGCCTGAGTGGATGTAGCATCCCACACCGATTGATGGGGGCACTTCTACCGCTCCCCTACAGATCTCCCAATTTGGTGCACCACTATCAAAAGACACCACAATGATCTAAAAGTGATTTTGCTGCCTGTTAGTGCTAAAAGTCCTCCTTCTGTGGCACAGTACCAAATACCTGAGGAGCTAATCACTCCTTTTCCTACCTTTTTGTCAGCTTTATTGAATGATGATTCAGTTCTGAAATGTTATTTTCACTTCGTGTTGCATAAGGTAGTTGTGTAGGATGTTTGCAAGATTTAAATTACACTTCAGTGGGAGGTTCTGGAATCAAATGTTCCTCTGACACCTAATAAAGAGCTACATCTAGCCTGCACACTGAAATCTCAAAAAAATATTGAAGCGACATCATCCTTCTGTGAGCAAACCAAAAATTGTATGGGAAATTCCAGGATTGCTGGGGTTTTCATTTTTAAATGAATCCCTCCAAACTGCCTGCTTGTGTTGCGCCTTACTGGAAGATGGCTAATTTCCAGCATTTCAATAAGCTGCTGGGTTTAGGGCTGGAAAGTCTATCCTTTCCCACTGCCACTGTGGTTCCCCAACTGCTGCCCTTGCAATTGTCTCCCCTTGTTGAGCCTCACATTTTCCTCAGTACTAGAAAAGATTGGGTAAAATTATCTGGCACAGCAGAAAAGACCGGATTTCTTGATGCAGTGCTCAAAATTGATTCAGACAGCAAAATGAAAAACAGGCAAAGATGCTAAAATATTTCAACCTCTTGAATTCAGAATCCTGCAGGGGAAGAACTTGGGCATGAACAAAGATGAACTTCTGGTAGTAGAAAATTACCCATAGGTATAAAGAAGCACTGTGGTATTTTCCACCTGAATCCACTTCAGCTATCATCTTCTATTAACCCCCATCAAACGCTTTGTACTTCAATGGGTATTTTGTTTAAGAGTTAACTTTATGAAAATTAATGGGCTTTTGTGAAAGGACCATTGCTTGTATCTTTGTTTTCCTCCACTGCAGCTATCAGGAAGCTTCCCAGAAATTGTACCCTTGGCTTCATTTTGAACCACATATATTCATGCAAGCACTTATGTGCATGCAGCACGCACCTGCCTCAGCCTGATGGCCCTGCTGGGTGCTGTAGCTGGGCACAAGTAACTGTTTCCTGGAGGTGGGGCGGTGCTACTTGCAGCATCCCTCCTCTGACAGAAACCATCTTCTAATTTCCATCCTAAATATATTCATTCTGCCTTCCGTTAAAGCAGATACGCGTATCAAATGAAATTACACATTGAAGCAAGGAATGCATTCCATGCCAAATTCCATACCATCTTTGTGTGTTTCCCTATTTCCGTGACATTAAAAGGGAGAGACATTTGCATAGGATTTTATTCCTTTTTGGAGAGCTACAAGCTGCAGACAAAAGAAGCTAGAAAGTAGGCCATCTAACTGTTCTATACAATTGCCTATCATAAGAAAAACAGTCAGTATTTTTAAATTATTTAATTATCCTCATAATAGCTTTATGGAAAAAATCAAAGTTGGATTAGGAATCTATCTTCCGTAGGGAAAAAAATGGAGGAAAGCATGACAAATGATTTATCTAGCCCAGAAAGAAGCCCTGCCTTCTCCCTTTGACCTTCTACCTACAAAAAAGCTTTTCTCATGACAGCTCTTATTGCTGATGAGTGTGGCTCACAACAGTATGCTGCACGAAGAGAACAGAGCAGCACTATGCTGCCCCTCACAGCACATGGGTGGATAAGAGAGCATTAACAACGAAATAAGGATGAGGACAGCACAGATGGCCTTTTGGACATTAAAAATGGTAAAGACTGGCTTCCCCTTTGCAATTGGTTCTGGCTAAGCTGCAATGCTTGAACTTGCCCATCCCTAAGTCTGCCTCTCAAAGCCATCTGCCTTGCCAGGATGCCCAGAGCAATGAGATGTGAAGCTGTGCACTGTAGTGGACATTCCACTTGCTGAAAGCGATGGTTTCCCTGGTATCCTACTAATGTTGCTCCAAAAGCTGCAAAAGCAAGAGCTGTTTTTCTAAAGTATTTAATCCTCACTGTCCTTAATGGCATCTACCTCTGTTGAAAGTTTCTCTATTTCTCTTCTTTGTCCAGGTGGTTTTAGGAGTAGCCATAGATTGTACTACTGATTGTTCTCTGTATTTTCATGAGCCACAGGAGCTGTCAGTAATGCCTTTCAAGTGATTACTTCCATTCTGGAGCATGCTTGCCTTTCCCACCATCTGACCTTCTCACTGCCCATGGAAATTCAGGGAATATCTGTGTGTATCTACAACTAAGCTTGCCATGATGGAGTGTCAATAAAGTCACTGCTTCTTCAACCTCTTCACAAGAACTATATTTAAGTATGTGAGAAGGTGAAATGTTGCTTACTCAAAAAGACACTTTTATTTGCCAATATATTTCTGCTTCAGCCTAATCCTATTTGGGAACATGCAACTAGAAAGTTCTGAATTTCATTAAATCTATACCTGTTTTTTTTTTTTTTTTTTCTTTTTTTTTTTTTTTTTCTCCAGACTGACTCATGCAAGTACTTTCCAAAAGCCCAACTTCCAACAGATATCACCTGGATTTATAATACTACTGCAGCTGAAATTTCCATTGTAATGTGAAAAGATAACTATCAATTCTATTAAAGAATCAGACACTGCATTTATCAGAACTGCATGTATAAGGAATCACAACTCCATATTATTCTCTTCATAAAGCTCGCTGGAGAGGTCATTTTTAGAAAAGATAGATTTTATTTGGGAAACTCATTTTATTTTAAGTGAACTAAATTATACACAACTGTCTTGTGTTCCAGCTCATCCTGTTACACGCAGTCTAGAGAGTGTATGGCCTAATGCAGTTTCATTGACTTAGCTGTGTTTTCTTGTGGTGATTGCAGCTTAAAGCAGAACAGTGTCAAACTGCAAGCTGTGAAGAAATGGAGCGACAGCACTCTCTATTTCTCTGCACTCACCTTATTTTCTGTGTTAATAGTGAAGACAGTGTCCCTTTGGTCCAGGAGCTTACAGGAATATGCAATGTTAACTGCTGTTTCCTGTTTGTCTCCTGTCAGCACCCAGATCTGTATCCCAGCTTCTCGAAGCGCTGCGATAGTGTCAGGCACTCCATCTTGTAGCCGATCTTCAATCCCTGTTGCTCCTGGGCAAACAGGAGAAGAAGACGTGAACTGATTTTCTTTCATTTGGAAAGCATCTTGCTTTCTTTTTCTTAAAGAAAAATGATTCAGTTATTATCCTGAGCTTATAAAGAGTTGAATCAATGTATTGTCCAGCAAATAAGCACACAGGCACAAAATCTGCATCTGGATTAAGACCTAAATCTGTCATCAATCAAATTCTGGCTCTTCATTTTACTTGATGCTAGAACAATACATTTCATTTCTTCTTAATAAACCAAAACGACAATGTACTGCCAGAGGAATTACACCATATGCATTTTTAAAGTACTGCATCAAGCCCCATATAAGCAACCAGGAAAGATGAACTTTGGCTATTTAAATGAATGTTATCCTGTTGCCAAGTTAGAGGCTCCACTCATCAAAGGGAAAAGCAAAGATACAGGATGTTTTCTTTTTTAAAATGTGCAAACTTAAAAACAGATGCCACACACTCATCCTGGACCCAAATCACCACCTGAATGTTAAAATACTCTTCTTATCTCTTCCACTAGAGGTCAGTTTGGAGATGCTATAAACATGGTGTGTTACAGATACTGATTCAAGCTAAAATAACAGTTTTTGCGAAATGAAGTATGAATGCACACAGAGCCTTCAGAGTCGGCAAAGGTAACAGATTCTGACAAGACCTACATTACTTCTTATGTCATTCTGCTTATGGCATTTAATGCTGTTACTTTAATTTTTAAAATCATTGCAGAGATTATGAGAAGCCATAATGCCACTAGTTTGCAATCATAGAAATTCAGAGGATAACAAAGTATGGGGAAAGACTGTATTCACAGAAAGATAAAAATGGGGTGAATCTGAAAACTGAAGTCTTAAAGACCAAAATATTTGGAAAAATGAAGAAAAAAAGCACTGAAATTCTCTGCAATTTAACAGAATAAGGTGAAAGTGAAAAAGATACTACGGATTTGGAAGATGCACAAGTACCAGAAAGGTAACTTTTAACATGAAATACGTTTACTATTTTACAAAATTCAGAAAGCAAACATGACAGTGAAATGATGGCAGGAATTTGCTAGCAAGAATGCCTTTGTGCAGTTACCATTTTTTATAATGCAGTTCTAGAATAGAAATTCCCTTGGAATTTGTGCTCAAAAATAAACTCGATATATACCATTTTATAGGTTTATCTGAGGACACAAATGCTATCAAGTTATGGGAACTTCATTATCTATCATGTCAGCAGAGCTGCAGTAACATCTGATGAACATGTTCTTTGCTTATGGCACATGAAAGTTTCAGTACACCTTTTCAAAGTTACTGCTACTCAAAATGCATAAGAACTTGTTTAAACACCATCACTGGATTGTGAACTCTTGCCCTGAGATTTTCAAACCTCAGAGGAAGCCTTTTTGATATAAACTAGTATAAGCTGTTGTCTGTCTGATTGCCAAGAATATCACAGAAGAGCAAGTGATACTTCATGCAATGACAATTCATATTTTTAGCTACCCAGCAAGGTGAGTTTGGTCTCCAGATGCTGTGCTGTCTCCATTAACAGCTCATCTCTGTTGTCAATTGCAGCTTCTGCCTCTTGACGAAAATTGGCCCATTTCTGAAAGTCATCCTCACTCAAGACCTGCATAATACAATTTAAGCAGAACTCATTTTAAATTTAAATAAGAGGAGAAGGACGCCGACACTCTGGATTGCAAGACTTAGCTCCTGGATTGTTATGGTACTCCGTTGCCTTCAAAACAGCACAAACTTTTTCAATTTTAGATTGCAGAAAGAGCAGCAATCAGTAGCAATGCAGGAGCTAAGTATTAAAAACATGGTCTACAGAAACTGCTGTTCCCACAGCCCTCAGCTCAGAGTCTGGACTGGAGCACACAGATTCTGAAGATCACTCCACATTTCTCGAGTGTTTGAATATGACCCATTTATTGCACAGACACCTTCTGTATCAGGCTAAAATGCACTGACCCAGGCTGAGAACAAGATTTTGGAAAGCTGAATGCCAAGAAAAACAGAAGGTTGGCTCTCTTATGGACTTTCTGTTTCTTTCCCGGAATCTGTACTAGAAAAGGTCAGCTAGAGTTACCACAGGATAAACAGAAATGAATGCATTGAGGCTGATGAAGAATCCATTGTCTGCCTAAACTGGCCAAACACTGGAGAAAAAGAGGAGAAAAAGAATGCAGAACAATCAAAGAATGACATAAAATGTGCTCAATCAGTCTTGTTTTCCAAAGAACAAAGCATTATAACTACTGCATTTTTCTAATAAATCTAATGCCATATACAGAAAACTGCAAACATTAGGGAATGCCTTCCTACCTTCTTAGCTATGCAAAGAGTTCGGAGGCCATCACGTGCATAGTAGTCCAAATGTTTCTGTGTTTTGTCCTTTATTCTTTTCATTCTCCTCTCTGCATTAGTATCAGCTATGAAATACAAGGAAAATATTCCATATGTTAAGCACAGATCATTTCAGACTTAATCACCTAAGGGTGGACATTAGTGAAAACAGGACTTCGTAGTAACAGCAATTCCCTTTAAAGTGGCCATGGGTTGCATGAATCAAAAGCTTAGTAAGGTTCCCTGTTTCCTTTAAAACTACATTACTTGCTTTTTGTTTGTTTGTTTTTTTAATGTTATAGCACTCTTGCTGACAAGCTAAAATACCATGGTCAGCTCCTTATGACAGTATTATTGCAGAGTACACAGTCCACACGGGTTAGCATCGTCAGTGAATTTTAATTAGCCCATTCCATATTCTCAGCACTCCTCTGGTTAAATAAGTACCTCAGTTCTGATATGCAAGGATAACACCATGGAGAGCTTGTTCTTTTTTTATACTCCTGATGCCTAGATATAATATTTAATGCAAAAAATGGTACTGCAGACTTCTTATGCCCCTGTGTAGGAGACACAACAGAAATAGCTCTTTGACTAATTACCTTTGCCAGGGTCTTCCAACAAGTCCATTATAACAGAGTCAGCTCCTTTTGTGTAGACAATGATCTCCTTGGTCAGAGGGTGTCTCACCACTACAGACATCCTTTTCCTTACTGAGTCAAATCCCAAAGTGTAGAGAATATCAAAAGTTAGAAGTGTGCCCTGTGGCAACCGTACTGTCACCTGTTCAGGAGTCCGGGACACTAAAGTAAAACTGTATGCTTGGGCAGCATAGACAAGTGCTGCCTCATCTGGGCTCTCAGCCTCATAGCAAAAGTCTGTTGGCAAAGTAGCACGAGTAACAGACTGAAAAACCTCATCCAAGGAAGCACTGCCAATGTCTGTGCTGCTCTTGTCCTGGAGCCCAGCGCCCCTACTGCTGTCACAGCAGCTGTCATCGTTGTCACAGCAATCCAGCGTGGCAAGATGCTCCTCTGTGTTCTTTGCACTGAAGCTAGCTCCTAGGTCTGAACTAGACTGAGAAGATGAAAAAGACTGGCTAAGGCTTACTAGTTTCAGCCGCTGAAATATCTGATGAATCTTCTCCAGGGTGATTCCTGAGGGTTTTATTGGTGGTGGGACTGTAACCTAGAAATTATGAGAAAATCTTGGTTTACCGTGGTCAAAAATAAACAAATATGAGCTACAAGATATTTTCCAAAAGCAAAACATATTTCTTTGCATCTAAGTGACATTAATAAAATAGAGCTGCAATGTTTTTTTGTTTTTTTTTTTTTTGTTTTTTTTTTTTCCTATTTAACTGTGTTGGGGAAATCTGTAGAGGAGTCATTTGTGAAGTGACATCCAAATGTGATGGTGATTTGTCTCTCTTCCTCTGAAATAGAGATGGAATCAAGGCTCTTGTAATTCTGTTAACGGCCTGAGAGATAAGAGAAAACCCAGTACATTCAGCATATTTATTACAGTAAATGTAATATTAAAGCTAAAAGGGAAAGTGCAGATAGCATGGTAGTCACAGCTATCCATCAAACATAAAGAGCCTTGTTGGGTAGGGATGTATGTAGGCAGTGAGATGGTGCACACTACACAAAAGGTAAAAGAACTAGAGAAGAGTGCCCCAAATAACCATTGCTCAGGTTTCACTGAACACTACCCTATGTTGTTAAATGCAAGCATAATTAATTTCTCTTGAATGGTTAATCAAAGTTAGATTACCCTTTGTCTTGGCTCAGTAGTTGTGGAGACTACGACTGTATTGCAGATGGCAAGGGCAAGAAAAAAGTCAGTGAGAGCAGTGGCAGTTTTCATATGTATAAAAGGAGAGAGGTTTTCAGTCCGCAGTGCAGCTTCCCTCACTCTCCTCAGCAGCCTGCTATCCGGAGTCACATCCTTCTCCTGCAAGAGAAGTTACTTAAGGAGAATTATTTGCATTTACAGCTGTCACCAAGAAAGAGCTCTCAGCTCAGTATTTTTTTTGTTATCTCTTACTGAGTTCACACCTAGAATTATGTAAGGTAAATGCCTTTTTACTGAATGTCTAGGGGAAAGGATGGATTCCTAAAGGCTGAATAACTAATTAGATTATTAGGAGGAAATACTCCTTAAAATAGAAGGAAGTTTCAGAATTTTATTTCTTCTGAGATATATGCCAAAAATAGTCTATAATATGACCCCCAATTTTGAAAGTGCTGACTATTGAATTAAGGGGCATCCCAGATGGAAATGCATTTGGAATCTCCTATCACACTGGGGGAATGGGAATTTTACTTCAACAGAGAATACAGGTGGCTTATGGCTTGCTTACAATACAGCTCTGCTTCCTGAAAGAGAAGTTTGTCTCAAATTGTTTTTCCTAAGTTTTACAACAAATAAATGAATGCATGCATAACGCATTTGTTCTTGAAATGGTGTTGTAATTTTACCACCTTGTCTATAATCAAACCTAAATTCACAAGCCGAACTACTTAACAATGTCATTTATCTACAATTTAATCTGATGTAGGCTGTGGGAATGCTACTTTTAACAGAAATTTCATGTTAGCAGAGTGTGGTTTGGATTTAATTCAGGGCCATATTTAACTGGAGCTTCCCAAGTTAGAGACACCTTCCTGTGAGCTAAGACTTTTGTATGCGTTCTTTAAGGAACTGACAAAGTGATTTAGCTGCTTTCTAGTTCATCTCAGTTATTACCCCTCTTCTTCTTCAATCTGGCACAGTTTTCTCGAGTTCCCTAAATATGCAGCAGCAATCAATCAACCACCTTTATGGCTGTGTAGTGCTGAGCTGAATGGTACATTGTTAACTCCCGCTTGCAAACATGAATACTGGTTCTTAAATTGTCCTAATAATTGAAAATAAATCTATTGCTCATTTTGTTGAAGCACAGAACTCAGCTGAAATCCAAATATAAAGCAAGATAATGCACTTTCTTTGCTACAGGAAATTCTGGTTATGTGCTTTCATGCTTTTTCTTTTGTATTTGGGGAAATATTTAAGTACAGATACATTCCCTCCACTAGAAAATTGATATGCATTGGGGAAGAGCCTGCTTCTTAAATATCTGCTCAGGTCTCTTAGAATGAATCAGAAGCTGAAAAGTTACAATGGTCATTCTTCAGAAACCCTTTAACAGCATCATACTACAACACACAACAGGTAGTTGTCTGCTGCCTGCAGTGTGCCTGCTAGGTACAGCAGTGCCATGAGGACTAAGTGGGTAATTCCTGTGAATAACACATATGTGCTGTCACAACTCTCAAAACAGTCATGTTGGGGATTACATTCAATTCTAAATACTGATGATTAGGAATTCTCTCTTTGCCCAGCTATTCTTATCAATTCTTATAATACGCATGTGCAGCACCACAGTTAGAATGAACCTCAAGAACCACAAATTGGTACACAGGGATCTCAGCCTCTCCTAATCCCATCCAATTTTTTTTTTTTTTTTTTTTTTTATCTACATCCTCACCATCTGCCTCTAACTCATGCAAAAAATGGCAGTGTGGAAGTATGTATTCTATTTAAATTGAAATATTCTCAAAATTTATCTCTGGAAAAAAATGGAAAATTGTGAAGTCAATTGTGGTTTCAGAAACAGATTTAAAAAAAAAAAAATAAAATATGAAAGCCAGAGAAGCCTCTCTTTATATTTACATCTAGTGAAAGCAGGGCTGACTTGAATTTCCCTGTCTTCCTGCATTCACCCTTATGAAATGTCAGCAGATAAAAGAATTCAGACAAAAAAATCTGTTCATTGATTAGCCTGAACAAACAGAAAACCAAATGAACAAAACAGAAAATGAAACAGAGCAGCATCAGTGATGATGATCAATTAAATTTACCACACTTTCAATCATAGTAATCATGTTAGTAAAGTGCTGAAGTTGTAAAATGGCTAGTACCATTCAATTGTTAAGATTTCCCATTAGTTTGATAGCATTTCTTCTACTTGATGGCACTAAAACCTGATGGCAATAGGACAATTGAAATCTCCATGAAATGATTCTAATAGCAGGGCACTCTTTATTGGAACCATTAAATCTAGGAAGAAATGTGCTGTCAAGATCTAAATTCATAAGGACATGTAAAGGTAGAGACATGTAAATGCTAATGCATTGTTCTCTTCCAAATTTTATTATAATTTTGTATTTTTTTTTTACTCTTTTAATGTTCCCTGAAGTCTTTCTGTCAACCATAGCTCTGTGGTTTATAGTACACTATTTTTCCCCCTGAGAAGTTGCAGCAGCCACAAAGAATCACATGAATGAAGTAAATCAAGACTGTTTCTTACCGAGGTACGGAAAGAAATGAGTAACGGGGCCAATGACATCTTGAAGCCTCTAAAGTGAGGTGATGTCCTCTGCCTTGGCTGAAGGCTGTCTCTTTAGAGATCCAGACAGGCAGGATAAATACCAGTTTACATTTTCACAAGAGATATGAAAGAACAGGTGAGTCTGTTCTTGTCCCAATGGCACTAGACAGTTTATATACGGACTCGTCCTTCTCCCTCCAGAGTTCTCATAAATGTTTATGAAATGAATAAATCAGTCACTGCGTTTGTTTCTCTCAGACTCTTTTAGAGCTTTCTGAAGTCTACACCATTCTTCTGTCCTTTACATTCCACATAAAACTTAAGACATACACAGACATTACGCATTTTTTTTATGATATCAGTATAATACTACAGACATGACAACACTTCTCAACTACAGATTTTTGGAATAGCTTGAGTTTGGATACGAACAGATCTGTCCAGCTAAAAGGTTGGCCTCTATTTTTTATTTTTTCCTTTGCTTCTAGAGATAGCAAGAGATACAGCTGCTAACAACAAATTAGGATTTTTTTACAATTTTGCTTTTCCGTTGTCCAAGACCTTCCCACTGAACAGACTGTGCCAGTGAATTTTACGGGGCTGTATCTGGACATGGGATTCATCTTATCTTATGAACTTCATAAACAGTATGCAATGAGGCTCCATAAACTGTCATGGATCACAAGTACTACAGACAGAAATATTGGGAAGGGAAAAAAAAGAAGGTAAGCCATAGGATTTCGATTCCACTAAATAACTGTGTTATATTTACTCCAGGAAAGACAAGCTATGCTGTTCAGTTATTCTTCCAGGATCTGCAGTCTCCAGTTTAACTAACTTTATCAAATGCCATGAAATACCCATCATCCTCATCTTGAGCTCAGAGATGCAGTGAGATGAACAAGTTAATTGATAAGAGATTTTCAGATTTCAGCAAAACTTCAAAACTTGTCAAGCAGAGAACACTCTGACAAACAGGCAGGCTGAAATACATTGTGTAGCTGTAGAGCTTCCTAATTGCAGAGCGGTTCAGAATACCGAGACAAAGTTTCAGACACACTGATGTGCAGACACAATCAACTGCTGCTGTGCAAACGCACTTAAAATACTATGTGCAACCTGGTTATCACTGATCCACCTAAGGCTGATTAACAATAAGCAAATTTTGTGATTGCTGCATAGATAATCTTCCATTAAAAGTTGTTTGCATATACATTTTTAACATTAGTATGTGATCATTCTTTGGCTGTCATAGCTATTTTCCAATTAAACTCTCTGCATTTTGCAGGATGTTATCACATCAAGAGCTCTCTTTTTTAAAAATGTTTTTCTTGGCAAGAGTTCTGATATGCAGGTGCTCACAGCAGATGCTGTGCTAACCCTTACCCAAAAACCACAGTGTTCTCTCAGCAGTGCAAAGTTCTTCAATTTTCCTGTTACCTGAGGCTACTAATTTCCATGAGAAGCTTTCAAATGGTTGGCACATTAACCCTTGGAAATTTGGCATGTGTTAAGAAAAAGCAAAAACAAATCATACAGTCCCAGCTACTGGCCTTTGGACTTTGCATTTCAAAAAGAGCAAGGTTTTGCTTTTACTTGCATTTTGTTGATCTGAAGAATGTGAGCCTCATGATTTCATAGTGAGAACCTCATTTGACAACTGTTGACTACCACTGAATTCTTCATCGTTTGTAGTTAAACAGAAACATTAATCCATAAGGACTCTGCAAGCCTTAAGTTCAATAAACAGCAATATTTCACTCAGGCATTTGAAAATGGATTTTTAATGAGAAACTTTGATTGAGATACTTTCAAACCCACAATACTGTCTGTATAACCAGAGGATCCAAGATGCTCCAGCTGTTCTTAGCAATGCACAAATGCATCAGAGGAGAGGAAACAAACAGAGACATAGAAAATGTTATGATTCCCATTTTACATTGAGGGAATTGGCCATGTATAAAAAAAAGACATTACTGTGCATCATCTGAAGGACATCAACACCCAGCACAGTCTCTAAGCAATAGCTAAGTGTCTTCATTTTTATTGCATCTTCATATTTCTCACTGAGGTTAGCTGATGTCGCCAAATAGACTGACAGCAGCAGAGGCCAGTAATTCCCAGGACAGTAGCTTAACCTCTCTCTATAAAGCAAATATTTGATACTAAAATAAACAAACAAAAACAAAACACAAAACCCACCTCAAAACAGTAACAGCAATGACAAAAAAAGACCAAAAACCCCCGCAGCCTCAAGCAAAACAACAATAGGCAGACAAACCAATCAACCAACCAGGGCAGTTTAAATCCGGAAGAAACTGAAGAGGCCTGGCAGAGGAAATATATCTGGCAAGGAATTCCTTTGTCACACTGACATATAAAGGAAAAAGACAAAGAGTGGTTCTCAATATTACTCGAGGACTGGGTTGGGAAACGTGAGAACAACTGACAGACCCACCATATTCCAAGAACAGGAGGAACACTGACTAATATCTACTTCTACATGACAGAGGAACTGAATGAGACAAGCAGGATCTTAAATTGAACTTAAAACTACATCAAACAATCCTTAGCTCTACCAGGTCTAGGATTTCTCCTGTCTCCCTGTCAGCTCCCCATCAGAAAATGCCATAGAAAGGAGAATTCCTTAAAGACATGCCAACTCAGTCTTCTTGTACTCACAATGGTACTGCTGAATGCCACTTGAGATTGGTTGCTATCACGACGACCAAGTGATCTGCTCCTTGTATGCCCCTGAAAGTGAGCCCTGGCACTCTGGGACCTCCTTAAAGGTCTCATGGTCCTCTGATAAGTGGCTGGTTTTTCAATATTCATTGGAGGAAGTGTGAATTGCTGAAGTTTTGCGAAGTCCTCATCTTCTAAGTCCAACTCTTTGTGCATTTCCAGGCGCTTGGCTGTAAACAGAAAACAAAACCTCACCTCTTACACTGTTCTTGGCATGGCTCAGAAGAAATTCCTTGTTTAGTTAAAAAACCCTTGAAATAAACCAACCAAAAGCTAAAACAACCCCAAAGTCCTAACCAGAAAAACTTCATTATCCACTTCAGCTTCCGGCAACTCCCTCTCTGCAATGTTTGTTATTGCAAGAAAACAAAAATGCACTTCAAAGTGATCAGTCATTTTTAAGGATGCTAGGTCTATTTAACTGCTCTTTGCAGTTGGCTGGAACTGGTTAATGAAATACAGTTTCACAAATTTGCTAATGCTCTCAGTCACAGAGCACAAACATCTTTCTGGCAGCTGCTTGCCAGCTTAATAAAATCCTTTGCACAACATAGGGAGAGAAAGTAGCAACCAAGGAGGGTCTGAGTCAAAAGTTCAGATTCAGTGCTGAATGCCAAGAGGCTTCAGATACAGCTTGCAGCTAAAGTTGACTCTAGGTGAAAATGAGCCTTCGTTCATATCACACTATGGTAACTACTTCTGGATCCACTGAGCTTGATTACTAACTAATCTCAGTTTGTGAATCTGTGAAAGATTGGCTGGCACTTATTAAGAAATGAAGAATTAAACGTTCTCTTTGCACTCTCAAGTGCAGTGCAGGAAACCAAAACAACTTCCCAATCTAACCTCCATATCATTTAAAACTTTCAGGAGTCTCCGTAAAGGGAAGTCCCTCACAAAAAGGATACAAAACCACTGACCCAGTCAGAAGGCTCAGGAGGCTGAAATATTAATATTTAAATTATGAAGATTTAGTAGCTGAGAGAAAAAAGCAAGTGTAGGAGTTTCCCTTACCATTTTCCTGATGTGAAAACTCATGTCCATCCACAGTACAGCGTCGGAATACCATTTTGTTTTCTGTTAGTGTCCCAGTTTTGTCTGAGAAAATATATTGGATTTGCCCAAGATCTTCAGTAATATTTAGGGCTCGGCACTGTATGGGCAAATCTGCTTCTTCATTATATAGGTCAATGTCATTGTGAATTAAAAAGACTTGGCCCAACTTGACTAATTCAATGGACACATAAAGAGAAATGGGGATCAAAACCTGAAAGAGATTAAAATCTCTGTGAGAACCAACCCGAAGGATGAATCTTCCAGAGAATGCTCTTACAAAAACACATTTTCTGGACCAAGGTAAATGCTGCTCTTACCCTCCTGAAAGTCAGAAATGATACACTAGCACAAACTACCTCTTGGTGTAAACCTGTTTAACAAGCAATGCCTTTATATGCAACGCTTCCTATCCAATAACTTCCCCACCGTGAAATAATTCTGAATTCATAAGATGCACAGATATTCTGTTTCAGTAATGAAGAATAAGCCCCTAAGGAATCTAAGCAGCTCAAAAAGTTCTCTTCTTATTTTACTCATATCAAAGAAATCCTGTCCACTTTAATCTCAGCAGATCTCAATCTCAAGAAACCTGAAAAGTAAATGTGATTTTCCCCCATCCTATTAATTGTTCTTTCTCAATTACGTTTGATCAGATCCAGATATATGAGCACCTTACTTTTAATTTAGCTTATTTTCTAAACCTGCAGAACCTTACCTAGTTATTATTCCCTGTAGGTGAAAACTACAAGTTTTGTTTCACTATTTTCTTGAGACATTGAGTGGCATTTCTACCTAGGAATGATGAACGTAGGCAAAAGAAAAAAAATAAACAACACCAAACAACTGATATTTGGATGTAAGCATTCTCTACACATATCCTTGATACTCTGGAGCTGTTCAGAGATACAATACCTGTTCTTCCTGTATATATCCCTGTGAGGTTTATAAGCAACAAAGAAAATTTGTGTTATAGTGCATTCCCCACTTTGATGATTTGAAAGACTCTTCACAAAATTTCCAAATAGGATCAAGAAAATACTGAACAATCTATTCATTGATATTATTTTCTTTATTACTGATTGTAGTCAGTTTTTAATACCTTCTTCCTTGAAAGTAACAGAGAAGCTTTGTCTTTTACCTGCAACAAGATTATCATAGTCAAGAACATGTAGAAGCCAGAAAGAACTGGAGACAGAAAATTGCCATTCTCATCTGGGACATCATAAGGTGGGTGTTCTGGGAAACTTCCAGACCAAATGCCATGCCCTGTAGGAATTATATGTGATATTGAAACACACTGAGCAGGACGGTGACTGATAAAGCTTCTGATATGGACTGCAGTGCTAATTAAGAAGAACGCTTCCAACTCAAGTACCCAAGCAGTGCTGCAAATCTGCTGAAGAATGCCAAACATACGCAGAACTTTGTAGCACATGCACATAACAGACACGTTGGGCATGGCGATTTTTTTTCCACCTGTCCTTCAGCAGGTTTCTCCCATGGCCCTTATGCCTGTGTAGATCTCTTCTCACTCCATCTTTTATCATGCGAGGATTCCATCTCTGCCACTTAGCTTTAAAAGTCCTCAGTGCTGAAGGCTCCTATTCCTCTTTCTAACAGAAAGATGTATCACTGTCTGCATAGACAATCTGAAATCTTCATAATTACATGCTAACATTAAATTAAAAATTAATTCAGGTAGCTAGTTTTTACATTTCCTCAATTCCCCGTCAGTTAACACACACTCCCAAATTGCACTACTACAGCTCTGGTTCAGGACTTACCAACATTCCATCACGATTTCTTTACCACCTTTCATATTGCCACTACAGACATAAATTTAATACAGAGTCAGAAACTTGACATGTAGCCAGCACAAATGACTTAGTTTCCACACACTGTCATTGCTCTAGATGCCCTTTTCCTGCCAAAATCCCCTATTAGTCCACTTTGTGCATCCAGTTCTGATAAAACTTCTATTAGCACCAATTAAGCAAGCGACCGTTTTGGAGCATCTGCCTACTAAAATCCTGCCAAAAGAATTAAAATTATTTCAGCAATATTTTCTGTCTGCTAGAGACTTCGATCACAACTGAGGATGCTGGTACAGCTATGGTGTACAACTCACTCCTTCCCCCTCTTTTTTCACTGTGTGCAAGGAAAATACTGATGGATTCACCTGTACTGTTTCTTCCTGGAGCCCTACATTCAGACAAGGTTGCAAAAAACTCACGGTAAAGCAGTGGGATCTTTCAAACAGATGAAAGTTGGTATACTTGTTCCTGCTTTACACGTTTCAACTAAACTATGAATATTTTAAAGTCTTTCTTCTTTTTCTTTTTTTTTCTTCTTCTTAACCTGAGCATATAAATTGTTTTTTAAATTTTTTTTCTTTTTCTTTTTTTTTTTTTTTTTTCATCTGAGACCACTTCAAACCTTAAGTTAAAGGACTTTATTACTCAAGGGCTCCTACACACCAGACAAAGACAAGTTCTAAATTGACATGACAGCAGTCAGGGAACAACGAAAATGAAGTCTCTCTCTCTCTCCCTCACATAGAGCTCAGTTGTCAAACTGAAATCCCATTTCTGTGCCAAGAAGGCCCATTGCAACATGAAGCAGCAAAATTAAAAAAGTGATTAAGTCAGTTCTATTGTTCATCTTTTTGGATGGCCTTTACTTCTAACAGTGTTACAGTGATGACTGACTGGTGGGTCACATCGCAGGGCTCTGGGGAAGGTTCAGGAAGGCTTGACAGGGCCACATGATTTGACTTTGTCTCTACAAAACTAAATCAGAGCAGTAACACTAAGCAAGTTATCACTGAGATGAAATAGATTAAAAAGAAAAGAGGCTTTGAACACAAAATTCTCATGGGAGCCTCTGTTATCTTTCAAAAGCAGTGACCCACTCAAAGCTTAGCAGGCTTAAAATCTGGCCCTTCTCCTCAGGGTTAGGAGATCCATTAATAGTGACCTGCCAGGGACAGATTGCTATCAGACCCGTAGGGCAAGTGGGTGCTTCTGCGCAATGAAAGCAAGGCCTTTGAGATCATCAATCAAGTAAATCAGAGTCAGATAACCTCAGCCCCATCTAGTTGCGGTGTTCAAGAAGGGAAGCCCCTAGAAAAATGCAATGCTCCTATTTAAGCAATTGATTCAGCTCAGCCTGTGCCAAAAAGGCCTTTGAGAAGAAGATAGCTTTAGAGATCGGGAACCAAATGAATTACCCATGTGCAGCTCATGGGTTGCTAAAGTCACCATGAAGATGTTTAGGAAAATGTTACAGAAATGTAGGTAAAGCTGCATCATTATATTTTTTAGTCATATAAGGAACAAGCAATATGAAAGTCAATGGATGCCATTTCCTACAGCATAGAGGAATTCAATGACACACTTTTGCTTCATACACACTGCCATGTCAGACGCTGTTGTGCCACAGTGCTTCTCTACTTCCATTTGTTGCACGGCAGCAAAAGGTAACAGAATACTGGTGGAAAGGTTCAACTTTTGCTGCCATTCCACCAACATCAGTCTCTCACATCTTGAGCCAACATGATAAAATAGGATACATGACTTTCAGAGCAGCACTCTATGCATTAAGTCAACAGCTTTCACTTGGTTGCGTTACACATATTTTATAGAGGAAACAGATCTTATCTGAAATATTTACAGCCATGGCTGAGTTTTCTTCCATCCAAATTGCTCAGATTTGCCATTTCAATTTGTATGTTATAAGACCAAAGAACCTAGATTCCAAAAGCCTGAGGCCTTCAGCTCTAGATCTGATCTCACTTGTCTCTGTAAGATCAGTTTTAATAATCATTGTAGAAAATAGGAATCAAAAGATTTTTGTCAGCGCTTCATACCTATAGAACCAACAAGACACATTATGAACAGGAGTCCCACACACAAGAAAATATCCATGTTCATCCGTCGCTCTATCTTGCTGCGCTTGTAGCGAGGACCATTGTTATTCAGCATGGCCTTGGTTTCATGACCTTCAAAAAGCAAATGGATATCATCATGTTTACATAACATTTTGCAGGTTTTTTTTTTTCTTTCGAAAAAAAAGCATTTCACAAAGTGGGATGATCATGATTAATATTAATTTATCTCCAGCTTCATTGAGGAACTGTATTGCCCATTTTCCCATTTGACTGAATGTCAGAATATATGAGACACTAAATCTAGGTAGGGGTTTACAGAAGAGCTCAATTACATTTCAGCTTTAAGCTGACACATACATTTTACTTTCTCAAAGGCAGCAGGTTCAATAGGAACAAGGATTGTACCAATATTCAAAACACTTGAGACTCAGAAGCACAGATATTCTCCTACATAACAGCTAAATCTCCTGGAGAATGGAAGGAAAAGGAATAATAATATTGCATTTTGGAGTTTTATAATCAACATGATCAGGTGCTATACTGGTCCCTGGAATCAACATTTGAAAAATATTGGAAATATTATTCATTAGCTATTTGGGAGCCACTAGACATGTTTCATGTATTAACTTAAATACAATCCAACATGTCAGGTCCAGCAGTGAAGTACACTAATGTTATTTACTTTTTCATCATGTGGATGTAAAGTGCTAACAAAACAGCAGAGCAAGGAATGAAAAAGAGCCCACTAAATCCTAAGAACACACTGAATTAAAATTGAGCTGGACTACTTGTAATTAGAAAAGAGTTCTGTAAGAAGCCAACAAGCAGAATTTGCTTTTTCTATTTTACTAATATCATCTAAACCATGGCTCCACAAATGGAATACCTGGATTCTATCTGTTGCTATGTTAAATTGTATATTTTATACTAATTTCTATAATAAAAAATAAAGGTCACGCAGCCTTGTATTTGCATTGTTGTTTATACGTGTGTTTAGTGTGTGAGAGGTACTGTTCGCCCATCTATCTTTTGGCTTTTCCTAGAGAAGTGATTTGAACCAAAAGCTGGAAGTAAGGAGTGATTTAATCACTGCTATTGGATTCGCTCCAGCTTTACATCAAAGAATATTAACAGAGGTAGAGAGCGAGAGAGAAAATTACTATCCAGCCTTATGTTCAGGACATTCACTAAGAGCAGGGACTCTTGGCTTCCCATTCCAATAACTATGTAATTTCTACACAACCCAGAGCTATGCTGGGGGGACCAACTCACACCACCAGTACTCCTTCCTTTTCAGCACACGTATTTCGCTTACTGTACCAAGTCAGCTAAGTCAGGGCACTACTTGTGAATCAGGAGGTGTGGGTTCACTCATGTTCAGCCTTTCCTTCTGTGAACAAATGCTTTTACCACTGAGTTACAAAGAAAATGAGAGCACTACAGCCTGCACGTGGTTCCTCCAGCAGCTCTGTAAATCTTGCTTCTCACTTCTCTTCTTACGTCAGTCTTAATGGAATATTTTGTGTTGAAAAAAAACAACAAATAAACAACAACAAATAAAGCCAACAACAAATGCCTTGGGACAAAGCTCTTTAGTCCCCCTCAAAGATTCCTCAGGGAAATGCTGATGGATTTATGCAGTGAAATTGGAGGAGCTTTAATTCCAGATTTCACCTCTCTCATTCCCCTCCACTTCAGCTGCTCAACAGGAAAAGGAATTTTCCCCACACCTCTAATAAGGATATAAGTCTGCAAGATATGAATATCAGAAAAGATTAGAATAAACTATACACAGGTTTGTTTTTTCTCCTAAAATCCTCACAGATTTACATGCTGTGTAACCCAGCACCTCACCTATCACACTCCAATACATTATCACTCAATTTCTGGATGCTAATGGCTTCATTTAAAACTTGTTTCCATTCTGGTACTTTATTACTGGAAAAGCATTTTTAATTCTTGATGCTGTCCCCATCACAGCAGGTAAACCGTGTTGGCCGTGGCTCTGTAATTTGGCTTTGGTGCATTAGTACTATTGCTTTATGTAAAATGTTTGGGTAGCCATGAAAGGTGAAACTCTACTTGGGTCAGATGAGAACTGCACAAGCTAAACAATGACTTAAGTGATGGCTCCACGCTTCACAAAGCATCCGTTAGAAAGTAAGATTGAGCAGTAATAGGGTTATAAAAATGGAGAATGTGCCATGTCACAATGTGACTGATTTTGGATGTTCAGAAAAGGTCATGGACCATGATTAAAAGCCAGAATACAATCAATGTCAAAGAAACCTAGAAATGAAGCTGGTTACTGGCTCAAGTGAGTCTAATTTTAGAAGAGAAAGAATAAGCCTTTATTCTGACATGAACAAAAGATGTCAGTGGGAAATTGAATTGAAGTCTTACTCAGACCAATGACACCACATCTTGACAATCATTAAAACTCCAACCTTTGCAGCTGGCAGCTTAAGCAACATTAATACAGGCCCACATTATGATCTTTGCTGTTGGTGAAGGAGCACACTAGGAAATGGCTAGAGAATGAAAATGGGAATCCTGACAGGAGAAGGTAAGACATGGATCTCTTAAAGCAGGTCCATGATGGCCGTGAAGTTGAACAGAACGCTCAAACACCTCTTCTGTAAAGAGCAACTGTGAGAGTTGGCATTGTTAAGCCTAGAGAAGGCTCAAGGGAGATGTTATAGCAAACTTCTAATGTGTAAAGGAGCCTTAGTAACAGACAGAAGAAGAGGATGGAAAAAGAGGGTGGATTTAGATTGAATATAAGGAAAATAATTTTTTTAATAGGGGTTGGAACAGGTTTCCCAGAAAAGGTGTATATACTTCATCCCTGTCAGTTTACAACCAGGCTGGATGGGACTTTGAGCATCCTGATCTAGTGAAAGATTTGCCTAACCATGGGGCAGGAAGGGTCAGAGCATATGATCCTTAAAGTGATCCTTAAAATGATCCCTTCTAAATCTGGCTATTCTATAATTCTGAGAAACTACTTCAATTCTATAGGAAATAATTCCTAGAGATATTTGTATAGTAGTTCCAAAAAACAGATGATAGTTTTGGAATTCTCCTATGCCTGCCTCTCTTCCCTTGGTCTGGTAGGCACCATTCTTCCCAATGCTGTTTACAAAGATAGGAGTTGAAAGACTAACAAAATGAAGGTTGCAGAAATATATGGGAGTTGTAGCCATTTAAAATCCTCTTTTACAGCAAGGAAATAAAATGGCCAGTTTGTGGAAGGGAATCCAAGGTAAATGACTCTTGCAAAAATGGTGATTTTTATTCTCTTGTTAGGTGGCTCAGCCTTGAACCTCATTGATGCTTGTTATACATACATCACCTGACAAGACTCTTCCAGAAATATAAAAATAACCAATAATGAGATTGATCATTGTATTTAAACTGACTATTTTCATCAGCAAATGAAGAGGCCATAAGGAGGGAAGTCAATACACTGTTTATGAAGAGGAAGAGGGGACAGATGTCAAAATCAGTGATAAATCACTCTTGCTGAATAAAAGCAGTGGTAACGCTCTGAAGGTAAAAGAAGCTGAGAAAAAGATGAGCTGACCCACTGTTGAACCTGGACTGCTGTGTTTGATCTGGACTCTGACACTGTCTGGTGTGGTTCATGTATCTACAGCACGAAATGCACAATTGCAGAGACATGCTATATCTATGTCAGCACGTAATGGATCTTCAGCTGCAATGGTTTCTGCTCTGAGGAGCCATTGAGATCTCTCTTAGGGCAGCAGTGAAGATTTTATGACCAATGAAATTAGCATTATAATCAGAGCTGCAGAGCTGAGAGTTAAACTAACCTTATCAAATTTAACTGGTCTAGATATCTTTGCATAAATGTAGCAAGATATTTGACACACACAGGCGTACTGTCACTTGTCAGAGAACCAGTATAGGATCCCTTTGCTTTAGAGATGCGGGAGTAACACCTTTACTTCAAAAGTAAAGGTGTATGCACTCTTCCCTTTGACCTACCAGTTCTTAAAACTAAATGTCAAATTACGGTGCAAGGTTAGACTACTCATGTTTACTTGAGGATATTTACAGGGAAATTCTGTGTTTAGTGAGATAGAATGTACTTCTTACCTGCATATATAACAATTCCTATTGCAACTTCAGTATTTCTGATTGTACATCCACGAAGCAGAAGGCTTTCAATGTTAAAACCAATCCGTTCATGATTTGGCTGTTCCCTGGGAAAATAAAAAGACAAAATAAATAAAGCAGTTTCATTTTCTGTTCTGATAAATCTCAAACAATTTTTTTTTTGTGTTCATGTCCAATTCAAGGTGAAATCAAGAAACTGTGAGGAGCCTAATTTGTTTGTGCTTCACTCAGCTTCAGTGAAGACTCCAGTAAGAAGTCACAGAAAAGTCAAATAACCACTAGAGGGCTTTTCATCTTTGCGAACCTCAGCTCCCTCGAGGAGTGTCCGGTCTGAGGCTTTCTCCCTCACCCACACGGAGTGGAAGATTTTTCTGGCTGAGGAAGTTCCATCACACATCTGCTCCTTCTGCTAGTAGAACAGACAGGTGAAAACTTACTGAAAATTGTAAGCTCAGTACACCATCAGGCGGGCAATTGGTTACTTGCCTCTGAAAATGAAAACTATTTTTGCACAGATTTCTGTTATGAATTTGTGTAGGCTCTTCCTGAAACCAAAGCTGAGATTTTTCCACTTGAACTGATTTTATTAAATATCAGCATAAGGTGAGAGTTCTTCCAGAATACGTATATTTTATGACTCTCTACTGGATATTTGGTATTGCATTTACCAGCAAAATGCAGTCTTACTTAAATGAGGGGCAAGGTTCAGTGCTATTTATATGTGTGCAATCCTGTATCTGTTTGCAGCTGCACATGGCAATGTGACATCAAAGGGAGGAGTAAAAAGGCTCAGAGACCAAATAGCTATAAGATAGCAGAATGATGGCTTTGATCAAAGACCCTACAGAGGAAGAACACAAGGCAGCTCTGGCTTGCAGTGTTAAAAAAGAAGGTCACTGTTATACGCTGAAGAGCAGGTGTGTAATTTCCAAAGCAGCTTCAGATTATAGATCTTCTGTTGTCTTCATTGGAATTTGACCATAATGGGAGTTATCACAGAGTGTTTTCTGTACGTGAAGCCCAGGCTTCAGCGCAGTGAGATTTAAGTATCTCACATACGAAGTTACATTAGTAAATTTAATTCAGATATCTTTGTCAGCGCATTTTAAAAGGTAACACCAGAACTTCCTTATCCTAGGGAGCTAGCTTCAGCCTTGGCAAAATCACTAAGCAGAAGCCTTCCTACATCCCCTTTCAGCAGTGTTTGCTGTGGCCAGAGCACACCAGGCAGATATCACTAAGTTCGTGCTTATCATTTTTAGCAGAGACAGTTCTTCCACACTGCTGCAATTTTACAGCAAGGAGATGGACATTCAATAAGGGCTCTTGGAGAAAAATGTAAGCTGGCAGAACCGTGAGGGTGCACATCTCTTGGAGCAGCACTGTAAGCTGGCCATACCTTGTTTTGCTGAGAGTCCAGTTTTTGTTTGAATACTACTCAAAGTCATTTGGGTTTAGAAAACACCTCAGACAAAAGTAGACTGAAGAAGAGAACTCCACCGTTAGTAAATTATTTTCCACAGAATTCTTTCACCTACCCTTGAAGCAGGGAGAGAAAGGCAGCTAATTTCCTACTGCACCAAGCAGGTGAGATGACAGACATTTCCAAAATAAATATCTGCTATAGATTTTCAACAGAGATTTAAGGATGTTGAAGCCAGTCCTGAACATTACGGGTGTGTTTTTGTGTGTTTTCTTGTGACATATTTCTTACATTTGCACAATATCAGTGTTCTTGTGCTTTATTATAGCAGGCTAATTGTAAGGATTGGTTCAATTTAGTTGATAACTAGTGGTCCACTAATCTAGCAACCAATACAGACTTGACCTATTCAACTTGTTAAGGTATCACAGAGGAGGGAAAACAGGATTGCTGTATTGGGTATAATTTTACAGCACATAAATTCTCAAAACCAGATTAGGAATGATGAGGGCTAATGGTCAAGAATCTGCTGGTTTTACTCTAGTTCCCAGGTTCAACATTCTCACTGCATCACTGGAAAGACTTTAACTACTAGTTTAGCTACTAGTAAGCTTTTAATACACTATTCTAATGCATTGGTTTCATGTAGAGTTTTGGTGCTTGCTTGTGTTCTTCAGCTGTAAGAAAAAATTAGGTTTGTGTGTCGGATCCTGGATACCTTTTCCCCATGGCCATAAATATGGAGAAATAAGAACAATGCAGATGGATATCTTTCAACATTAGAAAGGATTTACACAGAAAATCTAGCCTAGCCTAACCCTCAGGTCAAACACAAATGCACTCATGTCAGAATTCTGATAAGAGCTGAAGCCTTGTGAGAATAATTTGTATAAAACAACTGTGAATTCAATGGCAAGCTTTTGTCCTTCTTTGCCTTGAAGCCCAAATTCCAGTCTGCATAATCTATTAAATTCTGAGTCCAGGAATAGATAATAGTAATGTCTACCAATTTCTGCAAAATGCATTACTTCCATCTATATCCCCCCACATGAAGCACTAAAGCTGAGATAGACAATGTATTTATGGATAACAAATACTTACATGTATCCTTTGAATTTATTGAGATCATTGTTAGGCATTTCACAGATGATGGTATTTTGGAAAAGTTCTGGTTCAAACGAAGTATTCTGCAAGAGGAAACACAGGGAATGAGTGTCAAATCCAGAGTAATAGCTAAATACCCATGCCATATCAGCACTAACAGGTAAAGTTTAAGCACAGTATCAGAGGTAAAAATAACAGGCTTGGTAAACCCACCTCACCAAAAAGCAGGGGTTTGGAAAAAATAAATGCTTAGATCAGGTTCACAGCTTGCCTGCAATTGTTTACTTTCTCTATAAGGTAAATTCATACACAGACAGACAGTACAGCCAAAGCTGGAAGTTGCCAACAGTTTTCATCTTTAATTTCTCAAATAGCACTCGCTCAAATCAATTCTTGCTTTACTTATTTTTTGTCAACACAAATCTATTGGACAGCAAAGCAAATTTGAGTGTGCAAATTAATGTAATTCGTTGTACAATCAAAAGGATATTGTCATGGTGTAGCAGATCTGAGATTTTCCTTGGCTGGATTATCAATTATAAATTTTAAAACATGCTATGAATTGTATCATACAATAGAGATGCTAGTTAGTGGCAGCACCTGCCCTCATTTAAAGTAAATGTAACAAATTTTTATAATTCTCTGTTAAATAACAACACTCTTCAGGCAAAAGCAAGATCAAATGAAAATAATTGCAATATTAATATGGATTTTGAAACATATTAGAAGACTTGTTTTACCAGCCTGGAGTACATGAGAATAAAATGAGAGACCATGCCTTTAAATAATTTGAATACATTCAAATGCGACTAAAATAAAGACTAACAGTAAAACAAGGAAACAAACAAAAGATCCCCTCAGAAGGAAGGGAAGTGAAAGAGCCCAAAGTGCTGGGAGAGACAAAATAAGATGAAGCTCACTGGGCTAAGCATGTCCTGAATTAGAGCTTGGAGCTGAATCAAGACACACACTTTTGCTTTATTTTCTCCTCATTCAAGGGAAAAGGCTTGCTTTTGGGGCTCTTTGAAGCAGTCTGGAAAGCCAGCTTCATGAAAGGCACATGTTTGCCATAACCTTTTTTCCTCAACTGAAAAGATACTGAAGACTTTCATTTAAGATTAAGAATATGTAATAAAAATGGGATGTGAGAAACATGAAAGAGAATAATTACTGCTGTGAGATAAAAACCAAAAGAACTGCAGCCGACTTGAATCCAAACTCCTCTCATTAGGAAATTCAGACCTGGAAATCAGATCTGCTGCTGAGCTTCCTTATCTTCTTCTAAAGCAAGAGAGACTTCCAGAAGTCACACTCCTTTGGAAACTGAAAATCTCGAGAATCTCCTAGTGGAATTCATCACAGCTTTGCCAGGCTGTAAAAATTTATCATGGTGACAATGCCCTAGCCTCATTTTGCTCTCATTCTTTTTCTGAGCAATACGTAATTCTATTTTGTATATGTATGTTCAAAATCTAAGTAAGAGCAAGCTGAGAATCTGATCTAAAAAATAAGTTTTGGAGGAAAAATACCTTGATGAATTCAGCCTAGAGAAGAGAAAGCTGCAAGGAGACCTCATTGCGGCCTTCCAGTATTTAAAAGGGGATTATAAACAGGATGGGAATCAATATTTTACAAGGGTAGATAGTGATAGGGTAAGGGGGAATGCTTTTAAGCTCAAGAAATGAAGGCTTAGATTGGACATCAGAGGGAAGCTCTTCACAGAGAGAGGGTGAGGTGCCGGCACAGGCTGTCCAGACATGTTGTGGATGCTCTATCCCTGGAGGTGTTCAAGGCCAGGTTGGATGGAGCCCTGGACAGCTTGGTTTAGTACTAGATCTGGAGGGTGGTGGCCCTACCTGTGGCAGGGATTTGGAACTTGATGATCCTTGAGGTCCTTTCCATCTCAAGCCATTCTGTGATTCTATGGATACCAGGGCAGTTTGTATAACATTTGTCTCACGTGAGTGAATATTTTTAGACTCTCTTTCAAGAACTCTGTGGAATCTTGTCCATCTCATGAAACTCAAGAGTAAAACTTTATGTTATCATTACTCTAGAAACATTTGTGCAACAGGAGAACAACAAGATGCAACTAAGCAGGAGCTTAGAGGGCTCATTACTACCCAATAGGTTCCTAGCTAGAAAAGGGGTAGAGAAAGATGATTCTTCTTTCTCCCTCCCTCTCCCTCTCTCTCTCTCTTAGTAAATAAATAAATATATAGTTATTTTGATGACAAAAGTTTTACAGTTGAAAATTCAGGTCAGAAAGTGGCTTACAAGAAGTTTCCTTTGTCTCAGCATTTTAAAGGTAGGGGAATTCAGCATTCCAAAGAGTTTCCTAAGCAGAAGAACTAACCTCAGTTCATTCTCTCCTCCTTAAAGAGTCACATTTTATAGCTGCAGTTAAATCTGGGAAGTTTTATGGAGCAATTAAATCATATGATTAAACAAAGCTCCAAGAACAAGGAACACGTTGCAGACAGGGAGACTAAAACCAACTTGTATGATACCTAGTGCATTGGTTTTGTTTTTTTTTTAATCAACATGCTATTTACACTAATAATTTTAAATAACAGGGTAATAGAGATGATTATTTAATCTCTGACCTTCCTGAACACCGTGGTCATCATGGTTAGAACTGCATTCCACTCTGCTTACGTAACAAGACTTCCTAAGTGTAAAGGCTTCTATGCATGCGGTGTATCTACATAATAACTCAAAGACTAAACAAAATAATCATGTACAGTCTGAAGCATAACTAGTACTGAAGTGTTTTCTGATTTGAAAGTAGACTTCTCCACTGCACTTTGTGGCTTTACTTTGTGGCTAGAGCTGCTAGAGCTGCAGAGCAGTCAGACTGCTGCTCAGAGCAGTCCTTGGCTGCATGGGCTGCGGTTTCATAGATTTTACCTGGCTGGAGAACCCCATGACAACTCGTCGCTGTTTAAGGTTGGTCTCTCCATCAAGGTTGGCAGTTTCCAAGTGGCAGATCCCGTTCTGATCAGAGGAGTACAGCAAGAGGATATCAGCTGGGATGGTCTCATTACACTGCAGCTGAACAAAATCTCCCACTAGGACATCTTTCCAGCACTTCTCAACATAGGCACGGTCTTCCCTGCGGCATCAAAAACATGTCAAGGGTGAATAGTGACAATAGGAAGGCAGGCTCCCTGCTAAGTGGGGTTTTGATAAAAGAAAGTAGGGCAGTGGTGCCACATTGCTGCATTTTTTAAAAAGACACAGAGAAACACCTAGAAACTAGTGCTTTAGACAGTTTACTAGTACCATTTCACCATATCTCACATGCAAAGTAAAATATCTACATGGAGTAAATAGAAACTAGAAGAAAATTTCTCTTTCGTTCACTAGCACTGGGCCTATATTCTCCACAGCAAAAGCCAGAAAGTTGCTCAGACTAACAAAAATGTTTTTAAGTATATTAGACAAGAAATACAAACATTTAAAAATATATATTTTTGAGTATGTCACAGATACTTTCAAGCGTCAGCGTATAGACCCTGAAAGAAGTAAAGAATTATCATACTTCTGCTTGCACCAGGTCTCTCCAATTTGTAATTCTCAAAAGATAATTAAAAATCTTAAGCTTAGGTAGTAGATACAACTTAAAAAGGTAGAGCAGCCAACAAATGACTCCGTAGCATTAAACAAGAAAACAAACAAACAAAAAACAAAACAAAACAAAAGGCAGCTAGAGCCTAAGATGAATGAAAAAAGGTAAGGAACAAAGGGATTCTAACTTAAAAAAAAAAAAAAAAAAAAAAAAAAAAAAGAGGATTGAAGTTTGAGGAAAATAAATGACTAAATGACTATTTCATCAACAAACTGGCATTCAACAGTTCAGGATACAGCAATAGTTTTTGAAATAACCTTTTCAGTAATTGATCTCTCAGCTGCTCTTCATCATCTAAATCCACTGAAGACTGCAGAATATACTCTGCAATTAGTTAAAGGGAAAACTGCAAAGGCAGCAATGGCTCAGTTCATTATGAGAAAATTATTTTTTAGTATAAATAATTGTCATCTTGTATGTTGCTCTGTAAGACGGAAAATGCTCACAACACTTTACTAGACTCACAGTAAAAGGCTTTTCATAATGACTCAGTCTCATTTCTGCCAAAGTCTGGCCAAAGTCTACTGTGTACTAACCTGCCTTCCTTGTCTTGGGGAAAGAGGAGTCAGCCCTAATGCTGTCAGGCAATTTGTGGCAGTTGGCTCACATCCTTATCTAAAAACAACATGAAAAAACTGCTTCCTGCAAAGGTTACATGCAGTTACAGAAGTCCACACTTCCTGGTGGTATTCACTTTTTATTAAAACAAAAGAAGAACAACAAAAACCAGAAAAACTCCTGTAACTATGTAAAAAAATCTTTGGTGCTAGAACTGAGATTCATTAATAATAGCTAAATAATGGTATTGTAGCAATGATTTTTCCTTCCTAAATGTTCATTCTTCTTTCTGCTGCATTTACTTATATGCATATCCTTGCTTCCTTTGCTCAACAATAGACATAAAAGATCACACTGAGAAACAGATGTTTGCTGTAAGTGAATCTGATATTGCTGATCTTTGAAACAAAAATTCCAGAACAGTTTCTACTTGAAAAATATTTAAGCAGGTGCACGATGAGTATTTATTGCACAATGAAGTGGATGTTAAAGCTAATATAGGAAAACCACTAAGCAATAAGGAATTCTTCTCATATCTAATGCTTTCCTGGTAGAATTCCTCGTTTGTTTAAAGCGTGATTACAGAAGCAGTTTCATACAAGCAGATGGGCTGTCTTGCTACCCTAGACATCTAGATGTCATGTAGAGTTTGTATATGCTGTTTGCCAGGACATCTGCAAGGCAATCCTACTTTTCTCTACGTCAGCTGTTGCACAGCTCTGTTGTTTATGGAACATTTCCTGCTCACAGAATGCTATAGATAGGCCTTACCCAGCTGCCTGTTTTCTACGTCAGCCTAAAGAAACTGGGTTAATAAAATAAGCCACAGAAATCATAGATTTGTAGTAATTTTTCAGTAACAGCCAATGAAACTTACGTTACCCGTGTGACTCAAGATTCGGTTCTTACACTAATTACAGAGGAGACAGTGAGTCAGAAAAGCCAAATGAGCTCCTCCAGATCAAAGAGGTTGTTTTCTGTTGCATAGGGAATAAAGTTCAGGAATTTCTAGTCTTCCAGGCTTACATTCAGGTGAAGGGTGCCCCTCTCTCTCAGTGAAAAAAAATAATTCAGTGAAGTACATTTTCTTCATAGAGAGCTCTATTCTCTGAAAGGAGCTGTAAGATTAGGAATCCTGCAGAATAAGGGTTTTCTAAAATTTTGCTGAGAATTATTAAAGGATAAAAGGAAGAAAAGGTTCACAAGGAACCTCTTGCACCCCACAACAACACTGGTCCAATTGCTCCAAAAGATTTCTCAAATGAAGCAGTTTACTTCCAGTAATTCCCATAACGGGGAACACTGCCCTTTTCCTGTTCACTGATTAAGGTTCATAGCTCATGCTATGGCTGCTAAATAAACACAAGAGCTTCGTAAGTCTGAGATGGTTTGTCAAGAGATGTATAAAAAAAACACACATATTTATGCAATAAAATAACAACACATGGTGATTTTCAATAGGTGGAGAGTTGAAAGTCTGATTCTCACGGTGGAAGGCACCACGGCTGTGGCACATCGAAGTTATGCTCTAGGATGAAAGTCTCTCCATTATCTTCTCTCTTTCACCAGTCAATTTATCACCATCACACTTAAAAGCATTCCCTCACTGCCCTGGAACAACAGGTAGCACAACAACACCCATCACAGGGTAGTGCAGACAGAAAGAGACAGCCTGGAACAGTCACAGTGAAGTCTGCCAGAATTTGATATTAGACTCGTCATATCTGATGAGAAGGACCAAATTGAATAGGATTTTATGAAGGAATTTTAAGGGAGAAAGAATCATACAAAAATGCCTGCTGTGGCTGGAAATTGTTGGGGAACAGGAATAAATTACTGTTGACACAAAGTCATTTCACATTCTTTGACTCAATAAAAATGAACTTCAAACAAAGACTGGGTCAGGAGGGGTGGTGAACAGAAGGAAGTAAGAAAATATTGCGCTGCTCCCAAGAGGAGATGAAATAAAAATTTTCTATGTGCATGTCACAGCACGGCTATGAATCCTAGACTGTCTTAGAGGAAGATCTTCAGAAACTTCGTCATGTATAAACAACAACCAATTAGCTCAGTGGGTCTGGTTCCTCTGAATTACTAAAAGTTCCAGTTAACTTCCCTTGCAGTTTGTAGTAAAGATGTTACTTTGTTTTTCACCTGAAAATTACCATTAGACTGTAATATCAGACACGTTAGACAAAAATAAAATAAAATAAAATAAAATAAAATAAAATAAAATAAAATAAAATCAGCATAACATATAGGCAAATCCAAATGTTTTTTACTGCATGTAATTCATTAGAATGTAATATTTGAAAATGGTCCTACTAAAGGATCACTTTTTCAAAAATACTCCAACACACTCAGTGCTTTGCCATGAACAGCTGGAATTCCACAGGTGTTTAAACTTTACAGCCTATTTTTGCTAATAGAAATTGAACACACACTGTCAAAGATTTTACCAGCTTTTAAATGGAAAACTCAACACTGTACTTTCAAAGACCATTTTAAGGCTATGAACGCAAGGTTAGGAGCTGCTGCCATAAAACCTTGAAAAAATGACGACACAGGAGGAGGAGATTAAGAAATTGAGGGTGGCACTAGACTAGAGAGGAACTGCTCCTGAAACCTGCCCATAGCTCACAATACAGCACAACTTCACTCAGTATTCCTGAGCTGGAGCTATCATCTGAGCCAAAATATCTGTGCCAATTCATCCTTGGTTTATACCATGTTACCATCATTTAGGGGGAGGCTGTTTCTGTCTTGTGGACATCACCAGCATCAAAACACTGTATCACTTAGTAGCAGTCAGTCCAGTAAAAGGACTTAGCAAGCACCTATAGCCACTCCCCCCCCCAACAGCTCTGCAATTTCAGCAAACCTTTTAATTATAGATAGAACTCTTTCTTTTTCTAGTCAAACGGAAGACATCTTTAATTATATCATTTTGGCATTTCAAACTCCTTAATACTAGAAGCAAATCCTAACTTTTTATGCGTTAAAACTGTCTGTAGCATCATACTATGGATGTTACAATCTCAATGATAAAACCATCTACACTCAACTTCTGTTAACGTTCCAAGTTTATATGGACTTCCGCTAAGTACCAGAAACTTAAAAATATATTTTTTGCAATACTTTGGTTTTAACTTGGTTGTTGTTTTTTTTTCTTTTTTTCTTTTTTTTTTTTTTTCTCCAACGCTGTCTTGTTTTGTAACGACCTGCTCCAAATGAGGAAATAAAGTAGAATTCAAAAGTATTTTGAATACACATTGGCTTAAATTACAAAAAGCAATGTAATAAAATCTATCAATTAATGTAATTAGGAACATTTAATTTATTCTTATTTTTATTTATTGTGTGTGAATATTCCCTAGAGAAATATGCTGTGACTCTACTGGCACTATCTGGAGTGAATAAGTAACTCCAAGTCAGTGACTTAAAGACCGCTTTTATCTTACAAAGTTTCTGGAAGCCTTAGCCTAAGTCATCATCTTTGCTACAGTCATTTCCTTACACGATCACGTAGCATCTTCAGGTCACATAGCAGGTAGCATTCTGCTCCTCTCCAGGTTTTAGACGCATTCAGAAAAAACATACTTAACCCAGATACAAAAATTCCATACAACCTGGAGTACACACAAAAGCTGTATAGAGCAGAGGATGCAGACTGCCAGTGACAAGGCCATGGAGACAACAGTACCATAGCATGTCTTGGGTTGCAAGGGACCTTAGAGATCACCTAGTTCCAACACCCTGCTGCAAGCAGGGTAGCTAATATACTCACTTATACTCACTTATAATATTAAGCAAACCAGTGTCCTGTATCTTTGATAATGGATACCGAGTAGCAGTACTATCATAGCAGACAATTACCCTGCAGTTAACAGTAGTTTATTTATATTGCTATTTTATACAAAAAAGAT